TTTTTACTTCGATCCGATAATTATTTTCAACGTACGGGGGGGTATTTTTTCGCGGCTCTCGGACCGGGTTTTACAGGCCGCGAGACCATGTGTCACAAAAAAAAATCGTTTCAAAAATCAAATCAATTTAATGCGAACAATAAATAACTTATTCAGAAAAGTACATAATTGTACACATTTTAAGTGGTGATTTACTCAGTTTGAACGAAAATGTAATATTTTGGAGATTTTTCATTATTTTCAATATTTTGAACGTTTTCGTTCGATGAAAAAATAGCAAATTTCAAAGCCCAAAATCGTTGACTGGTACCTCGATTTTAGTAAAGAGTCTTATCCCACGTTCTCTTCTTTCAAAATCTGTTTTCAATCTATGGGCAACTTAAAAGAAAATTTTTGAGGCCAAAAAATACAAGTAATACTTTTCTGAAATTTGAGCTTTCCAGACTCAGCGGGCCGATTCTAAAAACTCGGAAAAATACAATAAGAAATCAGTTTGAGCAACAATGGCTTAATGTTTTCAGCTTTCAGACGTGTTTATACAGCTATCAAGAAAGGCAGATTTAAGCTGTCAACTCCGGCCAACTACGCCAGTCACGTAAAGTTGTTGAGGTAGGGCAAAGCACTGATATTAAAAAGTCTTAAAATCAAAAACGTTTTACGTCCATGAAATCAGATTTATAATAATAATATTTAACACTTATATTGCGCTTTTTCTATAAAAATACTCAAAAGCGCATTTAAGTGTACAAAACAATGTTGTGAATGTCTGTTGTTCGTACCTTAGCATGGTGTTTCCATATATTGGAAATGTCAAGTATCCACACGGGAGAATATACCAACAACAACGTTTAAAAGTCAGCGCCGAAAGATCGCAAACGGTAAAGATTGCGTTACATTTCACAGAACGACCGCTCACCACTGTTGTCACTCTTTTTTTTTGAAGAAAGCTACGAGAAGTTTTCATTCCGTCATGGATGATTCTTGATCAGCGCTTCCTTAAAAGTGCGACCCCGGACAGCTGAGACCTCGCGACCCCGGGCTTTAGCAGGGGAGGACCCAGAATTTTTCCAAAGGTACGCCCGACTTTTTGTACATCGTCTCCCCCCCCCCCCCCCCCCCCCCCCCCCAACCCCACAACCCCACTTTTTTTTATGTGCTTTTTTTAAAAATGGGGGGTGGGTGTGTTAGCACAAAAACAATTTTTTTTAAAAAAAACAACCCCTAAAAATACTTATTTTTTTGTGTTGTTTTGGTTTGTTTTGTTCTAACCGTTTTTTTTTTTTTACTCTTAAAAATAAAACTTTTATTTGAAGAAAGCTACGAGAAGTTTTCATTTCGTCATGGATGGTTCTTGATCAGCCCCTCCTTAAAAGTGCGACCCCGGGCAGATGAGACCTCGCGCCCCCGGGCTTTAGCAGGGGCGGAGCCAGAATTTTTCCAAAGGTACGCCCGACTTTTTGTACATCGTCCCCCCCCCCCCCCCTCCCCACCCCACCAACCCCAAATCTCGACTTTTGTTAAGGTGCCTTTATTAAAGATGGGGTTTACGGTTGTAAGCCAAAGCATACTGTCTATGAAATGACACAACCTCTAAAATTCCTTAATTCTGTTGGCTTGTTAGGTTCATTGACGTCAACCGTTTATCATTATTCAGCCATTAAACATCAAACTTGTAGTACCTCCGACTTTAGTTTACATATGAATGTTTTTTACCGTTTTTTGTCACATTGTTTTTGACCGACAAAAGCACCACACATTCGGGTACGCACTTAAGAACCGTGCGTACAAGTAGCTACGCCCCTGCTTAGTCTCCTTAGCCCTGAGCACTCCTCTCTTGCGGTTTTCGCAGGAGTTCAGGATGTGGTCCACCCAGTATTTCACGTCTCTATTAAACGAGAGGCAGCAATTCTTGTTTACCGTTTCGTTATCAGACAGCGCTCAGAGTCTTACCCTTTCATTTAATTTTGATCAATTTTTTTATCATTTAGTTACTCAGTATACGCTCGATCCTGGCATTGTAAACTTATACTTTTATACTCTGAGAGAGCTTAACACCTATATTAAAAGGCCAGCCCCCTATTTTTCTTCGTAAAGTGTCGTCCGACAGACCCAGGTTTTTGGCATTTTAAAAAAAACAAGAAAAAGAAACGACAAGGTTTATTTTTTTGGACTTAAATTAAATCTTTTAATCTGAAAAATGAGCACTATAACAGCATTCCCAGGCATACAACGTTGGGTGGTGTATCCTTTTTGCTTTGTAAATACCCTTTTTGGACCTTTTTTTTTTATGAAATTGACCATCATATTTTCCGCCACATTGACCGACCCAAACCAGGAAACCTATTCGACTCTAAACGAACAAAAAGGGGATGACCTAAGCCTTATGGTATCTTTTTGGGCTTCCTTACCGCATTGCTTCTGCGTATTTCTGTATACTTGTCTTTTGTTTTGTTTTGTTCTTTTTTTGTCGGTGAAATAAACTGAAACTGTTCAAAGACCCTCTATATTCCCTTTGGAGATTCTCGAGCGCGGATAAAAAAAATGAAAAGCGTGATGATTTATTGACCGCAAGGGCAATGGGGAAGGGTTAGGGCTCGTTGCTGCGCTCCGGTTCACTCGTGCGCTGTCAAATGATCCCGAGAAACAAAAGGAAAAACTTCTGTGGACAGACTATTCACGTCTAGACATCAAGCATCTTTTAAGATGGGACTTATTGCCTCTCCCTGTTAGTGGAGTTGATTTTTGGTGTTGACGTCAATTTCGTGATGCCCCGTATGTTGCCAGGACATGTTTCACTCTGGAAAGCTCAAATTTCAGAAAAGTACTTCCTGTTTTTTTGCGGCCTCAAAAATTTTCTTTTAAGTTGCCCATGGTTTTGAAAACAGATTTTGAAAGAAGAGATAACGCTCTTTAACGTGGTATAAGAAATCGATTTACCAGTCGACGATTTTGGGCTTTGAAATTTGCTATATTTTCATCGAACGAAAACGTTCAAAATATTGAAATAATGAAAAATCTCCAAAATATTACATTTTCGTTCAAACTGAGTAAATCACCACTTAAAATGTGTACAATTATGTACTTTTCTGAATAAGTTATTTGTTGTCCGCATTACAATGGATTTAAATTTTAAAACGATTTTTTTGTGACACATGGTCTCGGGCCTGTAAAATCCGGTCCGAGAGCCGCGAAACAAATAACCCCCCCGTACTTCGAAAACAATCTTCGGATCGAAGTAAAAATTACATTTATGTTAATAGCTTACCTAGTGCTACTTTGTGAAATTGTTTGAGAATTTTCGTTTTTTTCACTTTTGTATACCTCAGGTCGATATTTACTAACATCCGCTCTTAAGTGGGTACGTTTTGGGAACATTACTAACCTTGATTGTTACCTACATCAGAGTTCCTGTTTTGTTTAAGGTAGAGTCTCGTGTGTTTAGCTGTCACGCTTTCATTGGTTTTCTTATGGGTTGTTTATTCCACTTTGGAATAAACAAACGATAAACAAACAATAAACAAAATAAAGTGTTTAGCACAAAAGGGAGAGTGTTGAGATTATTTACGTATGAGCTGCTGTAAAGATTAAAGAATAACAAGATGTAAACTCAGATACCTGGTACCTCTACGCTCAGCGAGCGATCGAGTTGCTCGTAACCCACCCAGATATTTTGGTGGAGAACCCGTTATTTTGGTGGAGAACTTGAGTCTATTTTGGTGCAGAATTCCTTATTTTGCTGTTCACACGTCAGGAGTGGAAGATCCGCCTTGGAAATCTGTGAGTGCTACGCCAAATGTTGCCATTGCAAACAATTAAGAACTCTGTTTAAGTTTAAATTGAGTCGTATGTAGCAGGAAAGCCGTATGTGTAAGGCAAAATCATAATGACAGAACTTTGTATTTAAGTAATGTATAAGCTTGCTGTTGAATTCCCATTATTTTACGGCAACGAGTGAGAAGATGTTCGCGAGTTCATTGATAACTATAGTCTGGCCGGTAGATTAAATGGTTGGGATGAAGAAAAATTAGCGCTTGGTCTTCCTCTTTTTTTTAAACATCAAGCCAGCGT